ATGGCATGAATCCAGGAACAACTCACTACTGGTTTCCGGCTCACTCTCCCTTGTCTCCTCCCCACTGGTCCAAGGCTCAGGCACCTCCTGGCAGCCAACCAGCCTCTCTGTGCCCTGCTCGGAGTCGGAACCCTGTCCAGGGTCCTCCACATCCTCCAGAGCCGACTCATAGGGCCCCTCGCTGTCGGAGTCTGGTGGCAGCTCCAAGGGCTCCTGCTGGGCCACAACAGAGATCTAAATAAGACAGGTGATTTCTACAGGTAGAATAGGTTGGGAACTCTCATAACAGCAAAAAAAAAATTTATAAGTATGATCTTTATTGTCATTGTACTTGAAATACAACAAAATTGGTTTCGTTGTCCTTACGGATTTCAAATATTGGAGGTTAACGTTTCCCCCTTTGCAAAATGGTTTATGGAATGGGCTTAACATTAGGAGGAGCTAATCTCTACCTATGCTTCATCAAGGAAAATCCCAGTTCTGATGAAAACTGGAAGGAGAAAAAAAAAATCACAAAGGAGCGGTTGATGATTCTGACTTTGGATGGTGGGAATGAGGAATAACAAGAGTTGGGAGGGACCTTGGAGGTCTTCTAGTCCAACCCCTTGCTCAGGCAGGAAACCCTACACCATTTCAGACAAAGAGCACTCCAGTCTTTTCTTTAAAAACTCCAGTGATGAAGCACCCACAACTTCTGAAAGCCAAGCTGTTTCCCTGGTTAATTGTCCTCACTGTTAGGAAATTTCTCCTCCATTCCAGCTGCTTTCTTTCTTGTCCTGCCTTCAGGTGCTTTGGAGAATAGCTTGACTCCCTCTTCTTCGGGGCAGCCCCTGAGAGCAGATCTGATCAAAATCTGGAATAGATTAACCCCAAAACTGTGAAGTTGAACCAGAATAAAACTTCCCTTGCTGTTAGCTTGATCTTTTGAGGGACCTTCAGCTCCTCAACTTCCAAAATGTAGTCGGTGAGCCTTTAGCTGGCGGCTAAAACATATGAAGATGGTTGCAGGAATTGGGTATGCCTAGTTTAGTGAAAAGAAGGACTAATCAAGACATGATAGCAGTTGTCCAGCATTCCAATATTTGAGGAGCTTCTATAAAGATCAAACTATTTTCCAAAGCACCAGAAGGGACGACAAGAATCAATCAGTTGTGGCCCGCCAGCAGAGCTGGCACCAGATTCAGACAGTGAGGAGGTTGGGGAGGAAGATGGGCCAGTCCTGGAGTCTGGGGAAGGCTCTGATGAGGGCTCTGTGTCGGAGGCAGAGAGTGGCCAGGGCCGTATGCCAGTTATCAGATGCCTTCAGAGTCAGACATCAGTGAGGCAGAAGAACAGCTGGAGCCTGTTCCCAGTGTGTGCATGCACAGAGTTGCCAGACAAAGGGGACAGCTAAAAAACAGGG